GGGATGGCAGTAAGACGATATGGATCCGTTCTTATTGTGCATCCATGGGTAAAGATAAACGCAACTCACATTGGTTTCTCAAACAGCATCTCTGTAAACTACGTGTATTCACTGAATTTCACTCTCTGCCTTTAACGGCTCGTTGTAGCTCCAATAGCTCCAATAGCTCCAGCCCCCACCCTCCCTGTGAGCAGTGTGCTCTGATTGGTCGGGACACGTAACATGAATGTGTCGGGCGGCGCGGTCCCGTGGGTTAGATGCGCGTTCATAATGCAGAGGGAAATAACTCTCAGAATAACGTTATTAGCACATTTTTACAACTTGAGGAACGAATGTTTTTAATAAGGGCTATACAAACGTTCATACTGGGTAGTTTATTTAGTTTAAAAAAAAGTATCCAACGAGTTACAGACCACTCTTTCTCCATGTAAGTCAATGGGAAAAGGTGTTTCCGGGCCTGGCAACCAAACGGAAGTGTAGTACCGCCGTTTGGCCAGCACGAATATTTTCATCTGAGTCCGGTGTCAGTACCAGATATGTTTGGGCTACCAGATATGTGCGGGTGTATTTCCGTCGCATCCGTCATATTCGTCATATTTTACGGCAACTCAAGAGGGCCACCACGGTCAAATTCCGAACATTTAAACATAGCCGACACTTAATTCTTTACTTTGTCCGTTATTATATGTAGAAGATTATACTTTTTCTCCGTCATGTTGTTTCCTTAGCAACAACTTCAAACAGGCATAGCCTACACTTCATTCTTTACTTTGTCCGTTATTATATGTAGAAGATATTCATTTTTTCTCCGTCATGTTGTTTCCATAGCAACAACTTCAAACAATAATAACTAACCGCTAGCCGCAAAGCTAGCATCACAGCCACTGCTCCGTTTTCGGAGACTTTGCACACGTTTTCACAAACATTTTCACACGCTAGGAGTACTTCCACTAGCTTCGTCTTGATCTGTAGATGTGATTTGATGTGTCGTGTGTCCCCCAACTCCTCTCCAAAGTTCAGATATTTAATAAAATACTCAGGGGAGTTTCCTGAATTGTCATGCCCAAAACCAAGCACTAGGCCCTGGGTAAATTAAGAGGCTGATCTCGGGCACGTTTGTCCACTTTCCCTGGTGGTCGAAACTCAAGCCAGACATCCCTGGAATCGTCTCAGAGAGTAGATGATCAGTGGGGCCTTGTTTTTACTGAATGATGTGTTTTTTTTACGGGGAATTAAAATATGAGCTTATTTTTAGGATTTTTGGAGACTTTGCACACGTTTTCACAAACATTTTCACGCTAGTATATAGAGTATGGGAGTACTTCCATTCGCTTCGCCTTGATCTATAGATGTGATTTGATGTGTCGTGTGTCTCCCAACTCCTCTCCAAAGTTCAGATACTATATAAAAATACTAAAAAGGTAAATAAAACATTAAACATCATGACAAAATAACAACCTGAAATATATGTATTCCATCTACACATTTCATAATGATCTAATCTAGTGGCCTTATAAAAGTGTTGGCTAAAGTAACGCAGAATATATATATTTTTTAATTGTAAATAATTAGAAACATTATTTATGTGCACAAGTACATGGGACCCCATCATAGCACGCCACACATAACAAGCTGTCCCGAGTTCCTCCAGCTGCAGTTCCACAGACGGCCGGTGTGTGGCAGCAGAGCGCTGGGAGCAGAGGGAGGTGAGTATATGACGGATATGACGGATGACGGATGCGACGGAAATACACCCGAACATATCTGGTAGCCCGAACATATCTGGTACTGACACCGTTCCAATTCTCCAAATGAAAGGAAAGGAGGTTTCAAACTTCCTTTAATTATAACCTCCTTTAGCTTAGGAACCACTGGACCTCCCTTACCGAAAGGAGAGGAGAAAATGCTGCCCCACAATGCATTGCAGCCGCAGCATTTGACGTCACACAACAGTCGGCCGTTCACGGACACAAACGATAATGGGGGAAATTATATCATGAAAGTTACGGTGCTTATGACGCATTTTAAAACGTATGTGGTAAGTTGCCAACGTGCTTTGTTTTGAACGTTCATCAGTATTATAATCAAAAAGAGAAATATGAACGTTAGTTTTTACTGAAATGATCAAATAAAGTCAACATTTCACTGAGCTGTGTGGAGTTTGTTCAACTTTTAAAATATGTTTGAATGGTGATATACACAGTGATAGATGTTAAGGACTAACGTTTATAATAAATACATTTGTATTGATTTTAAGATATTTTCATAGTTCATACAATCATACGTATTGGGATCATTTGTATAAATGTGGACCGGAGGGAGAGGGTGACGAGCATAAGTTTCACTTTCCTTTTTTATTTCAATTCCAACTTTGGTCATGAAGAATATGTTTCTCTGTTGTCCCCGTTCATAAAGCATAAAGCAACAGCATCAGAGCACGGTGCAGAGTCTCTAGATGAGTTTACAGTAGTCCCTCGTTCTTATTAAACATCCATGTTGTAGTCCTCTGTATAGAAAACTGTAGTTTCCATAATTTCCCCACAGCAGCAGACGCACACAATGACGTCCGCTGGCGCATCATAAACACGTCGGATAGTGAAAGTGCATTCGGATTCTCTAGTACCACAGTCTCTTCTCCTAAGTCCTTTTGAATTCTCCTATCCACTATCCCTTAACCCCGTGACGTTTCACTCAGAGGTCAAGGAATAGGAGATAGGGTTAGAATTTAGGAGCTAATTTTTGGATTATCGGAACGCAACCCTGCTCATTAGCGCATGATGATAAAATGGCCCAACTTTTGAGAGAGTGAAACGTCACAGATTACCCAGCATGCCTGAGAAGTACCCGTATGTACACTCATAGAGCATGCACAACTTTAACCAAAATGCTCGTTCACATCAAGCACGTCAATTTGCGTACACGTAACAGCACCGCGCGTTCATGACAGCATGGTAATGGATGTTGTTATCATGGATTTGATATGAACGAGGCGGCAGCTAGCGGCTAGCTAGTAATGATGCTAATGTACACATCAATCGTTATGTACTTATATTACGCTGTAACAGGATCTAGTGATATCCAACAGAGCTTCATTTAGCATGAAATAATTATTGCACTGTATATATATATATATATATATATATATATATTTATATTTATATATATATATATATATATATATATTTATATTTATATATAAATATATATATATATATATATATATATATATATATATTTATATTTATATATAAATATATATATATATATATATTTATATATAACTATAAATATATATATATATATATATATATATATATTTATATATAAATATATATATATATATATTTATATATAAATATATATATATATATATATATATACTAATACATATACAGTGCAATAAGCTCTTAGTGCAATACGAAGCTACAGGGACGTTAATAATGTCGGTAATATTAACTTTATTTAATACAACATTTACGGTACAAGATTTAATCATACAGCCCATGTAGTATGATAATGAATTACAGCAAACATGTGCAATATATCCATTATTACAGCTCCGTGGGATGGCAGTAAGACGATATGGATCCGTTCTTATTGTGCATCCATGGGTAAAGATAAACGCAACTCACATTGGTTTCTCAAACAGCATCTCTGTAAACTACGTGTATTCACTGAATTTCACTCTCTGCCTTTAACGGCTCGTTGTAGCTCCAATAGCTCCAATAGCTCCAGCCCCCACCCTCCCTGTGAGCAGTGTGTTCTGATTGGTCGGGACACGTAACTTGAATGTGCCGGGCGGCGCGGTCCCGTGGGTTAGATGCGCGTTCATAATGCAGAGGGAAATAACTCTCAGAATAACGTTATTAGCACATTTTTACAACTTGAGGAACGAATGTTTTTAATAAGGGCTATACAAACGTTCATACTGGGTAGTTTATTTAGTTTAAAAAAAATTATCCAACGAGTTACAGACCACTATTTCCCCATGTAAGTCAATGGGAAAAAGTGTTTCCGGGCCTGGCAACCAAACGGAAGTGTAGTACCGCCGTTTGGCCAGCACGAATATTTTCATCTGAGTCCGGTGTCAGTACCAGATATGTTCGGGCTACCAGATATGTGCGGGTGTATTTCCGTCATATTCGTCATATTTTACGGCAACTCAAGAGGGCCACCACGGTCAAATTCCGAACATTTAAACATAGCCGACACTTCATTCTTTACTTTGTCCGTTATTATATGTAGAAGATTATACTTTTTCTCCGTCATGTTGTTTCCTTAGCAACAACTTCAAACAGGCATAGCCTACACTTCATTCTTTACTTTGTCCGTTATTATATGTAGAAGATATTAATTTTTTCTCCGTCATGTTGTTTCCATAGCAACAACTTCAAACAATAACAACTAACCGCTAGCCGCAAAGCTAGCATCACAGCCACTGCTCCGTTTTCGGAGACTTTGCACACGTTTTTCACAAACATTTTCACACGCTAGGAGTACTTCCACTAGCTTCGTCTTGATCTGTAGATGTGATTTGATGTGTCGTGTGTCCCCCAACTCCTCTCCAAAGTTCAGATATATAATAAAATACTCAGGGGAGTTTCCTGAATTTTCATGCCCAAAACCAAGCACTAGGCCCTGGGTAAATTAAGAGGCTGATCTCGGGCACTTTTGTCCACTTTCCCTAGTGGTCAACACAGATCAGTGGAGACATTTTATTATTATTACTATTTAGTTTTTCTTTAGTTGTTTTTCCGTTACATTGGAGTATGACAGGTGAGGCTCTGCCTCCCCTGACTGCACGTCGCTGCTCGCAATATAACAGACACGCACATATCTTACGACGGGAGGTCAGCGGAGAGCACTCAGAGGCTTTCAGCTTTAACAAGAGGAATACTTTTTTTGCTGAATCTGCCCATTCAGCATGTTGTATAAGAAAGAAGTCTTTCAAGCTCAACAAAGCTACAATGGCGAGAGGAATGAAAGTGTGTGAATAATACCTTTGGAGAGCATTTGAAGTGCATCCCAGGAACAGGCAGAGTGGTGATGTACATTGTAATACACCGGTACAGATAGAGTGTGCCAACAATGAAGAAGAATCGCCTGCCTATAATTGACCTGGAAAAAAGACAAAGAATATTAATAATACAATGTTTTTTTAGGTGTGTGTCAAACTACTAATTCAACACTACTTAAGTATCATATCATCACGTATTATGTTCTGTGATACAGTATTGATTCTCAAAAACACTGTATAGACATTTCTTATTAATTTACAAGCAAATATTTGTGAGAGTTAGTTTTGTACTGTGCCACCATGTCACGTAGTGATCATCTTCTTAATAAAACATCTTTGCTGATGTTTTTTCGAGTCTTCTGGCCAATCAGAATGCGGCAAGATTGTTGCCGGAAGTCCCCACGGAGAATAACTTTGCGGTAGAACTATTCTTTATACATCCATGGGTAAAACTTCAGATACAAATGAACACATAATGAAATATGACCGCCGGTTTGATGATTGACAGGTCGCAGAACAATGGGAGCTATCTACCCTTATCCACAATTTAAAGTAATTCACACAGACTCTCTCCTCTTTGCTCTTCTCTCTGTGTGGAGCAGCAAGCTGTCAGAACAAAGTGAAAAACAAACAATGGCATAAAATATTATTAATATGTCGGGTAGCAATAGATTTATTAATTTTCTTCTCAGAGTGTACCAGAATTTGTAGTTTATGTTAGTATTTCAAAAAGTCTCCTGGGGGACAATCCCCCCAGACCCCCCTTCTGGGGTTGGGTTTTCAGCATGTGTGCCTTTTTATGTTAGTTCAGCTTTGATTCCATCATCTCATTAAACCTTTTTTTTAAAGCATACTTTAGTTCTGTGAAGGGATATAAGGCATATATGCACTGTACTTCATTGTAATTAATAATATATGCTGAAAAGCGTATATATACATATATATATATTACAGCACGATTTTTTGTTGAATAGATTTGAGTGGTTCAAAATATCAGGTCGCGATATATTGACAAAGGAACAAGTGGGTCCCGAGGCCTGACCAGTTGAGAACCACTGTGCTAGACTGTACCTGTGCTTGAGTAGAATCCACTGTATCAGCCAGAGTCCCACCAGCAGCATGCCGTTAATCTCACAGATGGAGAAGGCCCACTCCACCCTGTTGAACAGGTCAAAGAACTTATCGGGCAGCGGAGGGGTGTGCTCCTTTGGCGGTACTCTCTCGTGGACCACTGAAATTACGATGGTGGTGGTAACAAAGCACACCACCGCGTAGGCGAACGCTATGCCCGTCTTCCCCCACTCGGTCGGGAAGGAGGGCCGTGTGGTTTCCTTCGTAGGGATGGGGATGTGGACCATCTCCATCCTGTAGTCCTTCATCCCGTTCCTCTGAGGCTTGCTAGTCCCGTTAGGTAGCCCCCCAGCGTGTCCGTTTGCGTGGCCGTTTTTGTGATCCTCGATGTGAGTCTCTATCCGCAGCGTCTCCAGTCGCTCCAACAGCTGCTGCCCGCCATCAGACGACACGAGCGACAGGGAGGGCCTGTGGAAATCTGCCTCGTTGAGCCTGAGCAGACCGGGACCGTCCGTCTGACGGAGGGCGTCGATGTACTCCAGCATCCCCTCTTTGCTCAGCCAGTCATAGACATCTTCTGCAGACCATGCTGCCACCTTCTTCATCTTGGCCAGTGGGCAATGTGGGGGATCAGGAGGGTCCTCAAGACTAGAGGGGAGGGTTCACGAGAGGCTTGGCGGACTATGGGGCGGTGGTAAATCCTCTCCAGTTTTGGCACATGGTGTTTCTTGCACCCAGAGGGAGCCAAGCCTCCTCTCGAAGTGAAACGCGGGAGTGTGCAGCGGTCACTCAGAATCAGGGCTGAGAGAGAGCAGGCGAACCACAGTGGCCTCCTTTGGCTTTCTTCACCTCATCAGCTCTTCCCCCTCACACTGCACCCCTGTAAAACAAAAAAGGAAGGATACAATGCTGTGAATCTGAACAAAGTCATAGCTGCCATATCTGCTTACACAACTCCACTGGGTGTGTCACGGACCGGATGCCTGGTCAGACCTGGAAGCTAGTGTGTAAACTCTGGATAGTAGAGCAGCATGACACAGGTTGTTTGGCCAACTCTGAGCTGCTGAAAATCACGGATGAAAGATTCAATGAATTATTCAAGTCATTGTAGAGCTTTTACAACAATAACAGCAACATGAAGACTCAATGGATCAGCAAGTTTCCGGTATTTGTGTATTGGGTTACTGGTTAGAAAACAATATTTTTGGACAAACAAATAAATCAAAATGTCTTAAATTAAAGTAGCTTATAGCCGATAAAACCCCTATCTAATACGTTATATCCTAGATATGTTACATCATAGATTCTGTTTTTGTTTGTTTTCCATAGTGTGTATGTTTCTCATCCAGCCTACAGGCAACAGCAAAGGTTAACAAGGAGATGAACTCACATCTGTTGCGTATCACGCGCTTGTTTATAGAGCGGGATGTCGGTGGGGGACACAGGGTGGCCCTGCTCGTGTTCGGGGGAGTCAGAGATGCAGCTGGAGAGCACTAATCTACTGCATGGATGTGAGGAAAGAGGGAGGATAGGAGGGGAAACAGACTGCGAGAAGGAACTCATATATCAGAGTCAAGGTCAGCGCCGAGCACGGAGAGAACGCAACCCCTGTGTGGCGGGCAGTCAGCCAACAGTCAGCCAACAGTCAGGCCCCCGCACGGCCAGGACAGCTCAGGCCACTAGCAGCTAAACACACTGGCAGGCTGAATGGTTGGCAGGACAACAAACTGCACATCAGTATCTCATCTCACCTCAGAGGCCTGTTTATTGAGGCCAGATAAATGGGCTATACAGTGGACAGCACTGACACCTGGCGTCACGTTTATTCCTGTTGAGGCCTCGAGGACCATGTGGCCGAATAACACAACAACTCTAACATATAAATACTAGAAAGCAAGTGTAATAATAAACATATGCATAGCATGCAAACAGCACAGCAGGAGTGCCGTCATTGCAACAGCGTATCTACGTGACAACCCAGCTGTGTGCCTTCACATGGTGCAAAGAGTTCAAAGAAGAGCAGTATGTAGTGCAAATAAAGACACACATAAATACAAAGGGCAGTTGCACCGCTCTGTGAACAGAAGACGATTGAGACGGATCAAAGATTAGCTATCGCTGACTCAGCTGTGTGCGCAGGACCTTTGGTCTGGGAAGCAGTTTATAGAAGAAATAATCTCACTCAGCTAAACTGGGGAGAGGGGGAAACTAATCCTGGAACTAATGAACTAATTCAAGCATGCTGAATAGTCTTCCAGAAATCATGGAAATGAGTGTTAAATTAGGATGCCTTTTACTATTTATATGCTGACATTGCATGAGCATTTGCATAACTATTTGGGTAGTGTTTCTGGGAGACAATGAAAGTAATGTGGAGAACTGAATTACATTTCCTTGGCTGTAACAACACTCTGCAGAAAAACAAAGGTTGTGGAAAATACATTTTCTCTTGAGCAAATTTCCGTGTGCTGAGGATAACCAACACCAGACGACTACATAGCAGGCTTTGATAAAGGTTCCTGCCAGAAGATAAACAGATGTGAATCTTCAGGACAATATAGTTTGAAGGCAAAGAGCTACAGAAACAAAGGAAAGTCTAGAAATGCTTAAGCCTTATTACCTTGTGAATTTTGAAGTCAAACGAAACATTGAAGCTACTACCTGAACAATTTCACCTTGAAAGCCTTTTGTATTACTTCAGAACTTAAGTAAATATTACAATTTATTTAAGCGTGTGGGTGTGTGTTTACTGAGTGAAAACACGTGGATTTGCTATCCTGGCTCCAGGATGGTGGAATGAGCTCCCCATTGACATCAGGACGGCAGATAGCTTGCACATCTTCCGGCGCAAACTGAAAACTCATCTCTTTCGACTCCACTTTGAGCAATAGAACTATTAACAAAGCACTTATATACTAATAAAGGACTGGCTTATCTAAAGCCAGTTGAGTAGCACTTGAAATGTTTTTGCTCTATGAAACCTGATGTACTTATATGATTCTGTTTTCTTCAAGTTGTATTTTGTTGGACGAACGCACTTATTGTAAGTCGCTTTGGATAAAAGCGTCAGCTAAATGCAATGTAATGTAATAATGTAATATCATGGTGTTTAGAGAAGTAGCCTTTGTTTTACCCAAGAAGCTGAGAATCGTTTAAAGGGATACACCCAAAATGTTTTGAGTATACATTAAGGTGTCTGTAAAAAGTCTGTAGTTACCGGTAGCAGGCTGTGCTCAGCTCCGATGTTTATATGGATTCATAGATTATAAAAGTGACAAGTACAGACTCAAAGTCCCAATGTACATTTTAAAACACTAGGTACGATATCATCAATTGTTCACTTTCACAATTCTACCAAGTCTCGGTTCTCTAATTGTTTGGAGGAAGTGGAGCATCAGTTGTGGTTTTTTCTGTGAAGCATTACTACAAGAACCCTTCTTCAAAACTGGCTTTGTAGAGTTTCCTTATAAACAAAAAAAGGTTCATGTTTACATTTAGTGTTACTCACCAAAACATTGCAATGAGTGTATTTAACAGATAATTCAAGTGCCCTTCCTGCCTCCTAACACATTTGCAAATATGTATGAACAGTATTTTGTATAAAAGTTAAGTGGCTTGCAGTATTCCTGTTCCCTGCCTTTGAGCGCCTATTGTTCGTATCTTGAGATGTTATCACTGCTTGATCAGTGAACTCCACGGGGCACCTTAAAGGTCCAGTATGATTCTCCTGATGACTTGCCAGACCTTCTCCCCACCACACCTCGCAGACTGTGTACCAACCATTTCTGTAACCTTCTGAGAATCCGTCATTGACACTTGTCCGTTAGTGTGGTAGTTAGAAATGAGCCAGAGTTTTACGTTGTCTCTCTAGCTCTTTTCTTTCTTATTGAAACATCACAGGCATTTTGCACTCTTATGGAAACAATCATGTTCCATGCACTTCTGTGACTTGTGTGAGAGTTAATTATATTCAGTAGTTATGCTTATACTGTAGAAGGTCAGAATGATGTGTCAGGTGATAAACCGAAAAAGGGGGTTGGGCTCTGTTCAAAAATAAGCATTTCCTGTTGTTGCACATTTTACACCCAATCACGCATAACAGGAGGTAAATGTGTTCATTCAAAAAAAATGATGGATTTGATGGAGGCCTGACCAGTTGAGAACCACTGATCTACATAATAATGTGGCCTATTACTGAACAAAGGAAGTTCATCTCTTAGGTAACAGCAGTCAATATAAGTACTTTTCACAACAGCATGTCTGTGCTTGAGCTAGTGGCAGAACCACATCTCAAACTTAGTGTCATCATCAATTGAAACTCAACCATAGGCATGACTAGATGGAATATAATTCATCCATCCTTAAAGCTCACTAACCCATTGCTGATCATAGCTTTAACCCTTAACATACATTTCAAATGAGCTTAGTGAAAACCAGAAAAGGTGCTGATGAATTAGGAATCAAAAACGCTGTGGTTACAGCAGAACAAAAGAAGAAGCTGAATGCATAAAGATTAGAATGCCGGTATTCGGTTTCGCTGGGTACAATCTGTCAGACACAGTCACCAGGTCTGGTTCTAGTAATGTTTGACATGACATAAAGGTTGCTATCATCCACCCAGGTATGTCCGGGCCAATTCATTGCGTCTTTGTGTACCACTGTATTGACTCGTTGGCCAAGTATTGTTTTATGATGATTGAATCTGTGAAGTACTATTGCCCATGAAAGTTTCCTCATGAGGACAATAAAATAGATTTCATAAATGCACCCGCACTGCGAGGGGGACCCAATTTCCCATCAGCAAAAACACATCAATTTGCTATCCTGGTTCCTAAATGGTGGAATGAGCTCCCCATTGACATCAGGACAGCAGAAAGCTTACACATCTTCCGGCGCAGACTGAAAACTCATCTCTTTCGACTCCACTTCGAGCGATAGAATTACTAACAAAGAATTACTAACAAAGCACTTATATACTAATAAAGGACTGGCTTATCTAAAGCCAGTTGAGTAGCACTTGAAATGTTTTTGGCTCTATGAAACCTGATGTACTTATATGATTCTGTTTTCTTCACGTTTGTATCTTCTTGGTCGAACGCACTTTGGATAAAAGTGTCAGCTAAATGTAATATAATATTAAGCGATGCCCCACCACAAACAGCCAACTGACTCGCGTGTCGGCACTGTCAAACCAAAATTGCCATCATTCATAAAGCGCAAAACAATGGTCCTATTCATCGTTTAACTGATACTTCTATTTGACGGCTAGTGTTGCATATAAGCTGGATATTTGTGACACGTTAAACAAAATGGCCAAATATTTGAACAGAGCAAGCCAGATAGCGCAAAGAATTTCACATAAAGGCCAAGAAAAAGATTATATTCTCAGTACGAAGTTTTTAGAAAGGAATGCTTTGTTTGCCCTCTCTGTGTTGTGTCCTAAGGGTGTTGTTGCCCTGTTCTTTATACACACTTTTTCAAAGAGTAGTATTTCTTTACAGGTTGTCTTATCTTGTGAGGCAAACGGACAATGGTTGAACAACAAGCTCTCACCTGTATCCCTTTACACCTTCAATACAAATGCCCCACAGGTAGACAACACAAGGCCAGTATTTACACAACTGGGCCAGCATGTTTAAAGTGATGATGGTTAAATATTAACTGTGTATGATCCTGGTTGCACAGTAACTCAGCACTATTATAATGATGATTGTATACACCTACACCCAGCTTAAAAGAGCATGGTGTTGTAACAGGTATCATTTCTAAGAAACTCAGTTCACAAATCAGAAAAACTGTGGTGAGAATCCAGGGTATATGCAGGAATCCTGAAGTCAAATGTAATACCTTTTATAAGACCCTTTCCATACATTTTAAGAC